CCAAAGTTGCTGGAGTACTTAAAAGTCCCAAGATCTCTGCTCAGTGGATCATCCCCATCTTGAGAGCTGGTGGAAGAGACTCTGCCAGGGGAGGCTGCCCATGCTCTCCGAGGCATCCCTGAGGGCACTGCCTTGCGATTCTCACCACAGAAACCACAGCCTGAAATAGAAATGGGCTGCCTGAAAATAATCACTCAGGCCTCAGCCCAGTGTGGCTTGTCTGTGCTCGGTAAATATGCACAGTGCTGGGCAGGGGCTACTGGGATGAGCAAGCTCAACCCCTGACCCTTAGCAGCCACAGCCTAACGGACAATAAGAATGGGCGCACACTGTGAGCATAGGCCACTATGGACGGGAACCTGACCTAGCCAGGGGCGGAAGGGAGTTCGGGGAAGGCTGCCTGGGAGAAGTAACATCTAGGCTAAGACTGGAGGGCTGAATTAGGTAAGAGAAGAGGAAGAATCACAGCACACAGCATATGCAAAGGACTTTTAGGGAAATTACAAGTAGTTCAAGCTAGCTGGGACCAGTCCAAAAGAAGAGATGATTTGAGTATCTAGATTGTCAATTAAATGAATGCATGTAAAGTGTTTGGCACATTCCGTAGTAGATGGTCTGTCATGCTAGCTCATTATGATCATGGTCTCGCAAGCCAGCTCAAGGGTTTAGGACTTTATCCTGAAGTCAAGGGGGAGACACTCAAGAGTTTTAAGCCCAAGGTGACTTGGTCATGTTTGCAGTATGACCAGATTTACAGGAGATTCCTGGGGCTGTAGCAGATTAAAGACCAAAAGAGAAGCACAACTGGAAGGCCAGTAGGCCAGTTTGGAGACAAAGAAGTATGCGAGGTGGGAGGTTCAAATATCCTTTAAAAACACATCAACATTCAGTCTTAGCCTAGATGTTACCTCTCCCAGGTAGCCTTCCCTAAACTCCTTTTCACTCCAGCAATGAAAATGAACTCACCATTGCTGATGTAGCATCAATGAGTAGCAAATGGATTGTTCAACAAAAGAAACCACACATAACCAGGCAGGATTGTACATGTCTGTAGTTCCAGGACTCTGGGAAACTGAGCCAGAAGAATAGAAAGTTCAAGCCCACCTTAGGCAATTTAAAAATAAACAAAATCTTAAAATAAAAAATAAGAAAAGGTCTGGGGATGTAGCTCAGACCAAAGGCCCTTAAATCCCCAGTAATGGGGAAAAAGAAAAAAAGAGAGAGACATAAGTAGTACCATATGATTCTATTTATGTGAGATTTAAGGAACAAGACCTGGTGTGGTGGTGCACCCCTGAAATCCCAGCACTCTGGGAGGCTATGGCAGGAGGATCACAAGTTTGAGCCCGGTCTGGGGAGCTAAGACTTAGCAAGATCCTGTTGCAAAATAATAAAAGGGCTGGACATGTACCTCAGTGTGAAGGCACTGGGTTCAATCCCCAATACCAATAATAATAAAGTTTAAGAAACAGCCAAAACTATAGTGTTTAAGGATACTCCAGTGGTAAAAGTTATTATAAAAGCCAGAAGTGACTATCACAGTAGTTCTAACGGCAATTACCCTGTAGGGGGCTTCTGTTTACTTAGTGCATTAGCCTGAATGATGGTAACCAAAATGTTCATTTTGTGATAAATCATTAAGGATACATTTATATCTTGGGTACATGTGCTCTTTTTTCTGAGGTGAGATTTCACTTGTCATCCAGCATGGTCTTCAACTCCTGGGCACAAGTAATCCTCCAGCCTTAGCATCCCCAGTAGCTGGGACCTCAGGCACGTGCCACTGTGCCCAAATCACATACTCTTTCTTTCCCCTCCATCCCGCCCAGCCTTCCATCCTTGCCACCAGCCCATCTTTAGTGCTGCAAACTGAATTTTCACATGCTAAACAATGACTGTACCATTGAGCTACATTCCCATGTGTTATTCTGTTTTTGCAGCACTGGGGATTTAGCCCAGGGTCTCTGTACTAAGGTATATCCTTGGCCTTTTTTGCATTTTTAAAATTTTGTGACAGGGTCTTGCTAAATTGATAAACTGCCTCAGCTGGTCTTGAATTTATGATCCTCCAGCTTCAGCCTCCCAGAGTGCCAGGATTACAGGTGCACACAACCATGCCCAGCTGTCATGTGATATTCTTTTTTTTTGGTACCGGGGATTGAACTCAGGTCCTTGTGCTTGTGCAGCAGTCAGTGAAACTACTGAGCTAAATCCCCGGCCCATGTGATATTCTTGATAATAAAAAGGTTTTAAAAAGTTCTGAGCTTTCTCTAAGGTAGTGCAAGTGAGGATGGAGGGCAGAAATTAATGACTCTGTGGAAAGTAAGGAGATGAGGAATATAGGGAGGGACAAGTTTGGGAAGACAGATGAGGTGAAGAGCAGTGCTGAACCCTAGAGAAACACATAAAATGAAGTACAAATGTCTGGGCTGCTGTCTGAAATTAGATAAATCACCTCCCTTAAGTCCAGATTCCTTCTCCACAAGAGGAAAGAGTGAGGTTTGATGGAACCAGTCCGGGGTTCTTTTTTGGGGGGGCGGTTACTGGGGATCAAACTTAGGACCTTGCACTTGCGAGGCAGGTGCAGTGCCACTGAGCCAAATCCCAGGCCCTCTTGGGTTCTGATATTGAGAATCCTGGGTTTACAATCCCTGTTCTGTTATTTCAAGGATGGGTGCTTGAAAAATGTCAGCTCTAGGGGCCGGGGATTTAGCTCAGTGGTTTTGCTGCCTACTGCGCAAGTGCAAGGACCTGAGTTCGATCCCCAGTACCAAAAAAAAAAGTCAGCTCTCCCCCATTTTTTTGTTTTGTTTTTTTGGTACCAGGGATAGAACTTGGGACCTTGCACCTGCAAAGCAGGCGACGGAACCACTGAGCTAAATCCCCGACCCTTTTTTTTTTTTTGGAGACAGGGTCTTGCTATGTAGTTCAAGCTGGCCTCAGAATCGTAGCAATCCTCCTGGCTCAGCCTCACGAGTGCTGGAATTACAGACAAGCGCCACCACGCCCTGCTTTTTTTTTTTTTTTTTACTGTAGGAATACTTAAGATTTATTAATTTGGAAAAAAAAACCCTAACAGTACCTGGCATACGTATGGGCCAAATACTGTACTTGCTACATATGTGAAAAGATGTGGGTCAAGACAAATGATTCTTGAAAGGCAGAAGTTCAATGTGCCTAACACGAGGAGAAATGAGTTGCTGCCAGAGCACAATTTAATCTGATGTGTACTCATTCTAGGTGAGTGCTAATTTAAGAATGACTGCCAAGTTTATAGCATTACTGCAGAGTATTGTTACTTTTCTAATTAAAAAGTACTGTTCTTCACTTTTATTTGTATGTCCTTGGGAGTTCAGTACCCCTAATTTTGGAGGCAGCAGTTTTAGGGAGCAAAGGAAGACAGCTTTGGAAAGCTTCCTAATACTATACTGCAGTTTTTGGAAAAATTTTACTGGTACACTTTCTTTCTTTTTTGGTACCGGGGATCGAACTCGGGTCCTTCTGCTTTCGAGGCAGGCAGCAGTACCACTGAGCTAAATCCCTGGCCCTGGTACACTTTAGATACACATAATGATCACATTCAGCATAGGGGATTTGTATCTCCCCGTTTTTCATGTGCAGACCTGAGGTAGCAATTTCTTCTCACAGGATTCCCTGATAAAACAGAACAGACATCTGGGGACGTTTGGTGTCTTGGTTATCATTTAACAATGAATGAGAAAAAACCTTGAAAACATGAAAGAGTATCACAATCACTACGTGGTTTCTACACTTCAGTGTAAGAACTAGTTGGGGAGCTTTTAAATCTGGGTGTTCTGTAGGTTTAGATTGTATAATTTAATGCTCAAATGAAGGCACTTTTGAGAAAAGAGGCAGTATTAATAATTACACCAGGACACAGGCATAAATCAATACTCCTTCCTGAGAAGCATGACGTGGTCCTTCCGTGTAGGCCCGAGGCAGGGCCCATTTTGGGTTTCTCCAGGAAGCTCTTGGGGCAGGAACCAAGGCACCTGCTATGCCTAAATTGAGTGGGCTCACTTCTACATCCAGAGCTCCTATCTACTTACAGCAATTGACATTTGCCTGTGAGGTGATAGCTAACATATATTAAGCAAAAAGTGACCCCAGTCTGTGCTAAGTACACGCATCGCCTTAGGTGACTCTCACGGAACCTTTTAGGAGGTGGGCGGCTTTACTATTTTCCTAGAGATTAACTCCCTCAATGTCGCACATCTAGGTTAGGGGGGCAGGGGTCTGAAAGCCCACTTAAGAGATTTATACCGCTTAACTGGTTTTCTTGCTTTCCCCCACCTAAACTGCACGCAGACGGCGTCATGGAAGTCAGAGGATGTCAAACAGGAGCACCCGGTTCCACAAGACAATGGCTGTGTCAAAGCAGGTGGCAAACCTGCTCCCTTCTCAAGCTATTTTAAGGCGGCGGGGCGTACCGGAGGCCAGAGGTGGGTGGAGTCACTATTGAGCCACTCATGGCCACCCCAAAAGGACATCTAGCATCTACCTTCCTTCCTAGGCTAAACTTGGCAGCCCCACTTGGGTCTCTTCTTTTTTTTGGTACCGGGGATCGAACTCGGGTCTTTGCGCTTGCGCAGCATGCGGCGAAACCACTGAGCTAAATCCCCGGCCCTATTGGCTCTCTTCGATAGTCCGTTTCTGCAGTGCCTGGGATGGAACTCAGGGCCTTGCTCACGCTAGGAAAGCGCTCTACCACTGAGCAACGAGGCTTGTGAACTAGGGGCCACTTACGCTAAGGTTGGAAAGCCCCTCCGATTTAGTTAGAACTTTCCAGCTATGCCCAAGGCCATCCTTATTATATACCCAACCCCGGCCGTGTTATTTCTGCTACTCGGCAGCACTAACAACTTATACAGCTCGCAATGAGAGAAGGTTCGATTCGCAGGTAGCTTGACATGAAGCCGAGGCTGTTAAAACTATACTCTGCCGTCCTTGGGCGACAGACGCGCAGAGAGACCAAGACCCTGGCCCGGAAGCAGCAGAGGAGACTAGGACCCAGGTACCTACTACGTCCTGCGCTGACGTCACCGAGGCCCCGCCCCCAGGCCGGCGGCTAAATGCGAGGGCCCACAAGATTCCAAAGCCGCCTCGCTGCCCTCTCTTCGCCTAAACATCCTCCGGCCCTCTGGGTGTGCTCAAGGGGGAACTGAAGCCGGGGGTGTTTGTGAATTATTTTTCCCTTATTCCACACCCCAGGGACAGCAAATCTGTATCCTTCCCCTCTGAGGTGCACGGGACAGCAGGGAAGGACGGGAGAATTGGGAGGGGGCCGAATAGAAGGTTTGAAGAGCCGGCGGACTCTGCCACACACAAGATGGCGGCGCAACCGTGGCGAGGTCCCTCAGAGGCGGTACCAACGCATGCGCAGCGCGGAGTCCCGGCCCGGGACACAAGATGGCGGCAGCGGCACTGGGGAGGGCGAGGCGGAGGCGGCAAAACGGCCGGTCGAGCAGAACGTGTGGCCGCATCCCCTCGAGTCCGCTCTGGGCAGGTAAGAGCCCCAGGAAGCCATGGTCTCGCCGCGAGCCGCGCCAGGGTCCGGGAGTCTGAAGCCGTGCGGCGGTGGCCTCTCCGGCGCTTTCCACTCGAGACTCCCGCTGGCCCGGTCTTTCGCCGCCGCCATTTTAGGCCCCCGGGTGGGCAGCCGGGCCGATGGCCGGGGTAAAGGAGGTGGGCCCGGAGAGCGCGGGCGGAGCGGCCTGAAGGGTCCCTCCGCTGCTGCCGCCGCCACCGCCTTTGTGTCGGGCTCCGACTCTGAGTCGCCTCAGCCCGGGGGCGGGAGCGCGCGGCAGGGCGGGGGGCGGAGCTCGGGAGATGGGCCGACACGCGCGCGCGCGCGCGCCAAGCAGCCCGCCCTCGCTGGGTTCGGGGTGAGGGGAAGGTGCACGCGCATTGGGAATCCACCTTTGCGAGCCCTTCTGCCTGAGCTTGTCGCGAGCCCTGTGACTCCTCCCTATTGGTCCAGAGACTTCTGATTGGTACACTACTGAGATGCTCCCGCCCCATCTTTCTCCAATCCCGGAATCGGACTCTTCTTTCGGGTGGGTTCCTCTGATTGTGCAGATACAGACACTTGTCTTTAGGCTGCCTGCGCTTCTCCTGCAGTTTGCGTGGGTTCTGGAAGCCACAGGCTAAATAAAAATAACAAGAACAGCCATCTCGTATGAGAGTGTACAGTATGCTAGATTCTACGCGTAGAGGTTTAGTGGTTCCCTATAAGCCGGGAGACAGTGGAGGGCCTGGAACTTGGATTTTTTTGTAACCCCACATCTGGTACTTAGGCCACCGACCTGCTGTATCCAAGTCGCACAGCTAATTTATTATTATAGAATTTACTTGTAGTGCTGAGGATCGAACACAGGGCCTCAGGATTGCTAGGCAAGCGTTCTATCTCTGAGCTGCGCCACATTCCCCTCCCCGTAGCGAATTTAAATTGGTAACATTTTCAAGCGGTCCAAAGTGGGGAAAAAATTAAGTCGTCTCCTAAGCCTACCTTTGAGTGTGTTTAAAAATTACAAATTCTTTTGTACCTTCCCTCTCCATATCTGGCTCCTAAGATGTGGACGTGAATCTTCATTTTGTTTTTAACCAGCCCCTTGATTCTGAGGCATGGCCCGTTTTGGAAATACCAGTACTGCAGTGTCCCCATTTGGCTTCACACTAAACTATGCTGCTTGTGACTTCTACAAAGTGCATCTAACTTGTGCATCAATATCCCAGGACAATATTATTCTTGGGAATATTTTTCAATAAAGGTGAACAAGATATATAATGTGTTTGCATATTATTTTCTCAGAGAAGTGTCTTTTTCACTCAGGGTGGTTTAGGATGGTGCCCTTCATATTTATGTTACGTATTTGTTTATTTTTCTCTGGTCTAAAGGTACTTCGATTGGAAGTACCCTTGTACTTATTGTACAATTAATACATAATTTGTGGGGCTACATAATTTGTGTGTGCAAAATGAAAGCTGGGTATGATGGCATGCACCTATTCAGGTAGCTGAGGCAAGAAAATGTCTTGATCCCAGGAGTTGGAGATGAGCCTGTATAACTTAGCAATACCTTGTCAATCAATCAGTCAGTCAGTGTAGGAATATCCAGGCTGGATGTGCAGCTCAATGGTAGAGCCCTTGCCTAGCATGCTCAAGGCCTTGGCTGTAAGCCCCAGCATTACCAAAAATATAAAAATTTTAAAACTCAAGATGGTGACATCAAAGCATTAAATCAAGCTCTGGGCCACCCTGGTACGGGAGCCCTGTGCAACCATGCAGGAAAAGCCAGCGAAGGTGAACCTATTGTTTAGAAGGTTTGAGATGCCCTGTTTTCCTCCCCCAAATCTCTAGATCCATCTCCCCCCTCCAACCAATCCCTGTCCTGGATGTTCCCAACTTACTCTGTGTCCTTGCCCTCTGGCTATGCAGCATTCACAGGATCAGTGACTCTCTTCTCTTCTGTTTGGTCTCCAGCCGCTGATTCAAGAAGTCGTCTGGGCCCCCGTCCACTCCGCTACTGACCAGCCCACTCACTTGTGCTGAGCCTTTCTGCAGGCCTCCCCCTTGCCTCTGTTGGACCCTGAGAAGTGGGAGTCAGTACAGCTGGAGAAGAAAACCCTCTCATGCTAACCTTGCAGACCCCAGAGGGTGAGAGAAAGGGAGACTTCATTTAGCCTTAAAACCTATAGGCTAAGCCCCCAAGGAATAGTTCCAAATCTCATTGTTATCAAGGCCCTCTTTGATGTACATATGTCCTGTTGCCCCTGCATTTTTTATTTGCCAAACTGTACCAATGAAGTAACCTTTCATTTTTCCCTTTCCAAATGAACAAAGACCTCTATGACTTGAGTGTACAATAAAATCAATGTCCTGATGATTCCTATGATGTTGTTAACAGCCAATCAGAGCACCTGATCGGCATGAGCGAATCAGTGTGGCCACAATGAGTTGGTAAAAATTCAGCATGCACAGATAATGCTTGAATTTGCCTTTGTGTTCTTACTGTGGGTAAAAGTTTGATTTCTTACGGGTGTTGTGACATTTTGAGAACAATTTTAGCATCGCCATAATCAGATCTCACTTGGGACCCTGGGAGTCCAACAGCCCTGGATGGAAACCACTCTGGCCATTGAGGTTTTTACTGGGTGTGCTTTAGGTGGGGGTAGTAAGGAATACAAATCTGAAGGAGCTGGCCTCCTTGCTGGTAGTGATTTTTCACATGGGGATTCTGAAGGGCTGAAGTAGGTAGCCCTCTCTCACTGTTTTTTTTTGGTCCTGGGGATCGAACTCAGGACTTTGCACTTGCAAGGCAGGTGTGGTGCCACTGAGCTAAATCCCCGGCTCACTGGTTCTTTTAGTGAGATAGTTTCCTGCCTGTAGTGTAAAAGAGGTGAGCAGTTAGACTCCATGTCCCTTGCCCAGCTGTGCTGTTTCATTTAGATTTTACTGGATGGGAGCAGTAAACTGTTCCCCCCAAGAGAAAGAGTTACTACTCCTTGTAGGAATCGCTTCTCAAGGGCAGACCCTGTTCTGTCTTGTTTACCCTTTGGGTGCTTGTAAATGTTTGTACAATTAATAGAGCTCATGTTGGGTCCAGGGACCGTGCTGAGCTCTGGAGAGATGCCATTAGAGCCAGTTCCTATCCTGGAAATGCTGACAGACTAATGAGACAAATCCAGTCCATATACCAAACAATGGAGTGCTACAGTGGTGGTGTTCATGGCACGGAGGAGGGGCCCTGACTACCTTAGTGGTAGGGTGGTGGTGGGGAGGTGGCAGTCCAGGAGGGTTATGTGGGGATGTGAGCCCAAGGGCAAGGCAGGCAGAGAACTGGGGAAGGGTATTTAGGTAGAAGATCAGTAGGATCTTCTTACAGTTGGGGGTATTGCATCTTGGATCCCAGGGTTCCCTCCTGTGGTACTGTGCTGGCCCTCAGGAGAGGTCGGGATGGGATTTCTCACCTGGGGTGGTCCCCAGGGTCCTCAGTGGTAATTGGGGGAGGTGGAGCTGACAATCTTCCATTTTTTGTGGCAGGTCCCGTGAGGGTGCTGAGATGGCCAATGAGAATCACAGCAGTCCTCGGGAGGAAGCATCCTTGCTGAGTCACTCTCCCGGCACCTCCAGTCAGAGCCAGCCCTGCTCTCCAAAGCCAGTCCGCCTGGTACAGGACCTCCCAGGTACTGGTAGGGGCTGTGCTGGGTGGTAGGATAGGAGGGGTACTCTGCACTCATGACCTTGGCTGGGCTCCATGCTTATTTGCAGAGGAGCTTGTACACGCTGGCTGGGAGAAGTGCTGGAGCCGGAGGGAGAATCGTCCCTACTACTTCAACCGATTCACCAACCAGTCCCTGTGGGAGATGCCTGTGCTGGGCCAGCACGATGTGATTGTGAGTGCCAGCCTAGGGCAGGGGTCTCCGAGCAGCCTCTAGCTGTGAGCCTTCTCCAAGTGTACTCTCTGCAGCTGTTATGTGCTTAGCTCTGTGCAAATACCAGCAGTTACAGCGACAAATGAGATACACAGTCCCTGCCCTCATGTAACCTACACTCAACAGGAGGCTGACAATTAAGCTGATGATTATAGTAGTGTAGTATGTTGGGCCCTGGGCCAGTGAGACAGGTGTGATGCTCATGGTCTACTAGAGGGGAGCATTATGAGGGTTACAGTTGTAGCACTTGTGTCAAGTTTGGTGTTAGAGGACATTAGCAGTCCTGACCTAGTCTGGGAAAGGTGAGAGGGCAGGAAGAGTTACTCTAAGAATCAGTGTTGAAAGTGAGGTTAGCTAGGAAGAGCATTCTAGGAACTGGGATGTATGGTGAGAAAATGCAGACTGGCTGGCTGGTGGGATGTGAACTTTTGGATCTGTCTCACCTGGGGCAGGCTATACTGGGTACCACCAAGCCAGGAGGCACCCCCATTTTGCAGGTGAAGAGAGGAAATGATTAGCCCAAGGCTTTGCAGCTGTTAGTAGGTAGAGCAGAATTTATACCTTGATGTGATTTCGGGGACACTGCTTACTACGTGTACTCTTGAGGTTCCATCCACACAGCCTTACTCTTTTGAAGATAAGCATTTGAGTTTTTCCTTTATTCCTGATTTGTTTGTTTATAATATCTGGGATTGAGCCCAGGGCTGTTGGGCAAGAGCTTTCCCATGACCTACATCCCTAACCCTCATTCTTCTCTTAGGGAAAATAAACATGTTTGAGTGTTGATCTTATGCCATGTGCTATGCTAAGTGTACTCACTGAATCATGTCATAATCTCAGTGGGAGGTAGGGCTTAGCATGGCCATTTTATTTTTTAAATTTAAAAAATTTTTTTTCGTTTTTTTGAGATAGGGTCTCACTATGTAGCTCAGACTGGCCTTGAATTCACTGTGTAATCCAGGCTAACCGTGAACTCTCAGCGATGTTTCTGATGTTCCTATCTCAGCGTCTTTCGAGCTGGGATTACAGGGATCTCCCACCACACCTAGCTAGCATGGCCATTTTAAAGGTGAGGGAATTAGGAAGGGAGGTAGCTTAGCCATGGCCACACAGTTGCAAGTAGCAGGCAGGACCAGAGCCCAGTGTTTTCTGTCTGCATCACAGCCCTCTGCTCTTCTCTGAGGACTAGGAGTACGGAGTGGGAGGGCATAAGGATTCCAAAGTACTGGGGCTCTGAAGCCGCTGATCCTGGTTGCAACTCTGCTGGTCTCCTTCCACCAGTCGGACCCTTTGGGGCTGAATGCGACCCCACTGCCCCAAGACTCAAGCTTGGTGGAAACCCCCCCAGCTGAGAACAAGGTCAGAAAGAGGCAGCTCTCGGAAGAGCAGCCGAGCGGCAATGGTGTGAAGAAGCCCAAGGTGAGTGTCCGGGGTTCTCAGGACCTGGCCAGTAAGTGGCCAGCTCAGGCAGGCAGCCAGCCAACAGGCTCCCTGCAGGGGCTGGGCATCAGCAGCCAGTCAGGAGGGGGGCCCTGGATGCAGTTCACTACATGTAGTGTTGAAGCCTGGTTGCTAAGTCTGACTGATGCTTTTGTGACTCTTGTGCTCTAGATTGAAATCCCTGTGACACCCACAGGCCAGTCAGTGCCTAGTTCCCCCAGCATACCAGGAACACCAACCCTGAAGATTTGGGGTGCATCCCCTGAAGATAAACAGCAGGCAGTTCTCCTCCGACCGACTGAGTGAGTCCCTGTTGACTGACTTGGAGTTGCCCATTACCAGGGGCCGCCCTGCTTGGGACTGGGTCATGGCAAGCAGGGCACATTCATTGATCCTCTCTCTGCCCCAAGGGTGTACTGGGACTTGGACATCCAGACCAATGCTGTCATCAAGCACCGGGGGCCCTCAGAGGTACTGCCCCCACATCCAGAAGTGGAGCTGCTCCGCTCCCAGCTCATCCTGAAGCTTCGGCAGCACTACCGGGAGCTGTGCCAGCAGCGAGAAGGTAATTGTCTCCTGGCCCTCAGCCCCCTTGGTTTCCAGCCATTGTTAGCAAGAGCTGGGGCGTCAGCATGGGGGTTTGGGGATGGCTCGGGGGAGTTCAGTGATGCAGATCGTGTGCTGCGGAGCGAGAGACCTGTTGGAGTCCTGACTCCCATCAGTCACTGATTGTGATCCTGGGCTCACTGCTTAACCCTTTTGTGCTTTGGTTCCCTATGACAAGAATAGGAACAGTGCGTAAAGCGTGGCTGCAGCTTATTCTTTGCCACACACTATCAGTACTTTTCACGTTTGTAAAAAGAGCATAAAAGCTAGTATTTACGCCGCCTGCCTTGCAAGCGCAAGGACCCGAGTTTGATCCCCGGTACCAAAAAAGAAAAACAAACAAAACAAAAAACTAGTATTTATACCTCACAGGATTATTACAAGGGGTGAAATGGGCAAATCCTCAGTAAACTGCAGCTTTTAATTTTTACAGTTAGTATATAAAGCTGTTTGACTTTGGTGAAATGTAGATCTCTCTCCTCTTTTTGACCCTATGTAATATTTATTAACACTCTTGGTAAAACTAGTGATTCTCAAGATACACTTTGGGAAATAAGGCCTAGAAAATAAGCTTCTGAGGCTGGGCTTGGTGCCACATTCCTGTAATCTCAGCCCTCTGGGAGACAGGCAGAAAAATTGCAAGTTTGAGCCTAGCCTGGGCACCTTAACTAAAATTGTCTCAAAATAAAAAGAGGCTAGGGATGTAGTTCAGTGTGATGGTTCTAGGTTCAATCCTCAGTATTACACACACACACAAAAAGCTTCTGAGCTATTAGGAGCCATGTTTTATTTACTGCTGACATGGTGCCTCCTATGTGCCAGGCCTAGAGTAGAACCTGCCGACTAAATCTAGACCTTCAGCCTCTCTCCTGTCTTGCAGGCATTGAGCCTCCCCGGGAATCTTTCAACCGCTGGATGCTAGAGCGCAAGGTGGTGGACAAAGGGTCTGACCCCTTGTTGCCTAGCAACTGCGAACCAGTCGTGTCACCTTCCATGTTTCGTGAAATCATGAATGACATTCCCATCAGGTACAGCCTTACGGCTGGGTGGTGTGGTCCCTGTGCCCAGTCCAGTGTAGAAGGGCCGCAACTCTGCCCACTCTCTCATCTAGGTTATCCCGAATCAAGTTCCGGGAGGAAGCCAAGCGCCTACTTTTTAAATATGCAGAGGCTGCCAGACGGCTCATCGAGTCCAGGTTTGGCTTTCTCCACACAAGATGGATCCATGAGGGGAGGTCATAGGCCATCTGCTTCCCTTACTCACTCAAGGACTCTGTCCTTGCTCCCAGATACAGAAGGGGCTGATGCTCAATAGACCAGTGAAGTGGGATGGGAAGAGGGTGGAGCAGACACCTCAATAGCAGGGTTCTGTGCACAACTGAGCCCTCTTTGGCTGCCTTTGGCAGGAGTGCTTCTCCTGACAGTAGGAAGGTGGTCAAGTGGAACGTGGAAGATACCTTCAGCTGGCTTCGGAAGGACCACTCAGCCTCCAAGGAGGACTACATGGTGAGTGGGCCCTGGGGTGAGGCCAGTTGAAAGGCCCCATGGCCACTCCAGAAATCCTACTCTTCCTGGCCAGGTTCCCACAGCAGACCCTGACATTTATTAGCCCCCAAGCTTATGACTGGAGATGTTTGGGCTCCTGGGTCTCTCTCAGAGAACATTTTCATTAACTTTTTTTTTTTTTTTTTGGTACCGCAGGGATCAAACTTTGGACCTTGCGCTTTTGAGGCAGGTGGCAGAACCACTGAGCTAAATCTCCAGCCCTAATGAATCTACTCAACATCTCTGAGTAGATTTTTGGGAGCACATTGACAGACTAATTTTGTATGTATTCACATAGTTAAAAGCTACCATCAGGCTGGGTGTGGTGGCACTCACCTATAATCCCAGCACCGGAGGCTGAGGTAGGAGCATTGCTGTGAGTTTGAGGCCAGCCTGGGCTACATAGCAAGACCCTGTCTCACAAAACAAAACGAAAAAGCTAGCATCACATATAATTTCTTGCTCTCAAATGTGTCTAGAACAATTCTGTTTTCTTGTCAAAACCTATCACTCCTTAATCCTCTCCAGCAGCACTAGCAACGGGTTTTCTTTTCAGGACCATTTTTCACAAGAGACAAGGTTTCGTACTTCACGATAGTAACTGTGTACTTGACACAGATTAACAAAGGTGGGTGTACTCACTAGCCAGTGTGACTCACTTTCATTCTTTAGTTTCACAAGTGTGATTCAGCAAAATTCCAGTGCCTGCAGGCATCCTTGCAAGTAACTAAAGGCTTAGCTTTTATGTCTGCACCCATTGAGCTCCCTGAGCTCCCTGTGTTGGAATCACCTCTCCCTGACAAGGTTGCAAATGCTATTAGCTGGGACCATGCCTGGCTTGTGTTTTTCCAGTAATTATCATGGAATCTATCACAGTGTAAGTCCAACAAAAACTCTAGGCAATTATTGGACACACTTGTATGCCAGGGACCTGGTAAACCCTGAAAGAATGACTGCATTTAATATTTAAACTGTTGGGCTGGGGATTTAGCTCAGTGGTTCTGGTGCCTGCCTCGAAAGCCCAAGGTCCTGAGTTCGATCCCCAGTACCAAAACAAAACAAAACAAAAAAATATTTAAACTGTCTTGGGCCGGGGATTTAGCTCAGTGGTGCCGCTGCCTACCTTGCAACCGCAAGGTCCCGAGTTCGACCTCCGGTACCAAAAAAATATATATATATATATTTAAACTGTCTTGTTAGGTATCTCATGTTCCCTTGACAGCTGAATAAGATTCAGAGAAGCCAAAGGACACAGCTAGTAAGTAGCACAGCCAGTTTCAAAATGAAGACTGCTGGGCCGGGGATTTAGCTCAGTGGTTTCAACGCCTGCTGTGCAAGCGCAAGGACCTGAGTTCAATCCCTGGTACCAAAAAAAAAAAAAATCAAAATGAAGACTGCTGACCCTCTACAGCCCTGCAGTTAACCTGCCAGCCCTGCTGAGGCCCTTTGGCTTTTCCAAGTGTTCTGATCAGAAGTTTTCTCCAGGACCGCCTGGAGCACCTGAGGAGGCAGTGTGGCCCCCATGTGTCAGCTGCAGCCAAGGATTCTGTAGAAGGTATCTGCAGTAAGATCTACCACATCTCCCTGGAGTACGTCAAACGGATCCGAGAGAAGCACCTGGCCATCCTCAAGGAAAACAACATTTCAGGTAGGGGCAAGGTAGTGGGGAGCCAGCAGTGATGCCGTAAACTCTGTATCCTGGGCCATGATTGAAGGAACAAAGGATGGTGAGCTTCAAGCCAAGGACTGGTTTGGCCAAACCTGCTGTGTCCTTTGGCTAGGGCAGTCCAGCACTATTCTGGGAAACAGGAAGAAGTGATGAAAAAGGAAGTCAGAAGTTGGTGGAGAAAGATAGGCCAGGAATAAGTAGATGGACCTGGTCTTACATCCATTCTCTGGAAGACTCATGTTCTCCTGAAGGAGGTATAATACCTGACCATAAGTATTGTGTGACTATTCATAATTCAAGTCAACAGCTTGGCCCCCAGAGATCCCCATATAAGGTACTGTAACTCTCATGATGACAGCAGTGTAGGTCTCATACTTCTGCTCAGCAGCAACACCCATAAGCCTCAGCCTACTTCTCTACCAGGCCCCAAGGCATGGCAGACGAGATCAGCTTCAGTGTTGGGCATGTGGACACAGGCCATCATTTCTGCCCTAATAGTTGCCTGGTGGTTTCATTGAGTTTTTAATGGCTTTTTGTTTTCTTTGTAATTAATTGGTTCAAGTCGATTTACTGATCTGTAGAATGAGACTTCCTCTGTACAGAGTTAGGTGCTGAGGCTGTCTGGGCCAGTGGCCCCTCACTGCTGTCCCTGTCCACAGAGGAGGTGGAAGCCCATGAGGTGGACCCTCGTCTGGTGTACTGCTATCCATTGCGGCTGGCTGTGCCTGCACCCCCCATGCCCAGTGTGGAAATGCACATGGAGAATAGCATGATCTGCATCCGGTACAAGGGAGAAATGGTCAAGGTCAGCCGCAGCTACTTCAGCAAGCTGGTAAGAGCTGTAGGGACATGAGCCTAGATGACAGCACAAGTTGGGGTTTTCTTGAGTACAGAATCGGATGGCCAGTGATGAGGCTATGGGACCACTCCTAAATCTAGCACTTTGTCCTACAGTGGCTCCTTTACCGCTACAGCTGCATTGACGACTCGGTCTTTGAGAGGTTCCTGCCCCGTGTCTGGTGCCTTCTCCGACGGTACCAGGTACAGGGCTGGGGCAGGAGGAGGGGTCCTCTGGGGGAGTAGGGAGGTTCAGCCTGATGTTGACTATGGCTACCCAACAGATGATGTTTGGTGTGGGCCTCTATGAGGGGACTGGCCTTCAGGGGTCGCTGCCTGTGCACGTCTTTGAGGCCCTCCATCGACTCTTTGGCGTCAGCTTCGAGTGCTTTGCCTCACCTCTCAACTGCTACTTCCGCCAGTACTGTTCTGCCTTCCCTGACACAGATGGCTACTTCGGCTCCCGTGGGTGAGAGCCAGGGGCTGGTGGCTCCCTTTTGCCCCATGCATGGGAACCTCCACAGCATAGGTTTATCAGCCTGCTCCTTCCTGATGCTTTAAGGCTTTAATTTTTTGGTACTGGGGATCAAACTTGGGACCTTACACTTGTGAGGCAGGCAGTGGGACCACTGAGCTAAATCCCTGGCCTGCTTTAGGGCTTTAGAGTTAGGCAGTCTTGGGGCTGGTTGTATGCACCACTTATTAGCCATGTGACCTTGGACATGTTATTTAAGCTCTGGGAGCCTCAGCTTTTCTGGCCCTGTGGGAGGCAGGTGACACTTTGTAACCTGACCTGTGGACTTCCCTGTGAATTAGCCCAGGTTTGGCATAGGATCGCCTGACTGGAGGCACCGGGGAGTTAAGAAGTATAATGCAGGCCTCAGAAACCTCACATTCAGCTAGTAGGTGGGGATGAACACAGAAGATAAGCTGTCTACAGAAGGAAGAGGTACCCAGGCTGTCAAGAGGCCCAGAGCACAGCAGCTGGGGGAGTCGTGGGTGTGGCTTGTGCTGTGGTGGTAGCAAGCTCAGAACTTGATTTGAACTCCAGCTCCTCCAGCTTGGTGGACAGGGCCATACGAGCCTGAGCCTCTGTCCTCATCCTGGTCATTCCTGTGGACCTGGTCATTCCTTGTCCCAGGACAAATTAAGGGTGAATATTACCCTCTGGCCTAACCATGGCCATCTTCAGCATAGCTGCTTAAGGGTGGAGTGGCATCCATTTGTGGTTGAGGGACTGGGTTTTGAAGGGTCTTGGAATGCTTGCTTCTGCCCTCAGGCCCTGCCTGGACTTTGCCCCACTGAGTGGTTCTTTTGAGGCCAACCCTCCATTCTGCGAGGAGCTCATGGACGCTATGGTCTCTCACTTTGAGGTGGGTCTGGGTTTCTCACTTGGATGGGGGAGGGGCAGAGAGAATTGCCAACCAGCTGGAGGGCAGCCCCAGATGTCCATCCTGTGCTTCCTTCCCCAGAAACTGCTGGAGAGCTCATTGGAGCCCCTGTCCTTCATCGTGTTCATTCCCGAGTGGCGGGAACCCCCCACACCAGCGCTCACCCGCATGGAGCAGAGCCGCTTCAAACGCCACCAGCTAGTCCTGCCCGCCTTTGAGCATGAGTACCGCAGTGGTTCCCAGCATGTCTGCAAGAAGTGGGTGCCTGGGGTGGGCAGGGGAAGGGGGGCCGGGCTGGCCAGGCCAGGCTCATCAGGCCAGGCCCAGGCCCGGCCCCACCCTGAGTGGCCACCTTTGTCTGCAGGGAGGAAATGCACTACAAGGCTGTCCACAACACGGCCGTGCTCTTCCTACAAAATGACCCTGGCTTTGCCAAGTGGGGGCCGACGCCTGAGCGGCTGCAGGAGCTAAACACCGCTTACCGGCAGTCAGGCCGCAGCCATGGCTCCAGCTCTTCCTCATCCTCTTCAGAGGCCAAGGACCAGGACTCTAGCCGAGAGCAGGGCCCTAGCCGCGAGCCTCACCCAACTTAACATATCCTGTGGGGAGGAGGAGCCCAGGGGTGCTTGTATGGACTGCTGGAACTCGGGCTTCTGGAGGCTGAGTGAACTCCAGGATCCTCCCCTGGGGTGGCAGCAGGACTTGGGCTGCCATTGACATAGGAATATTATGACCCTTCCAGGGCTCCCCCTCCCTGCTTCTTTCCCCACCTCAGACTCACTCCAAGACCTCTGTAAATAGGCCCAATCCCTTCCCAACCCCACACTGACCCTGTTGCCACCTTGTTTCATTTGTAAAAGGAAATCCATAAACCCCCTAAGAATGTGTTGAGGGTTTTGAGGGCAGAGAAGGCTGAGAAACCTGGAGCTACTTCTGGATCACTGAGCTCCATACCGAGGCTCACCTTCTAACTCCTGGGCCTCTGGACCACATTCTAGAGACCCCACATGACTAGGTCCCTGGTGGCTTCCACCTGTGCTCACCAGATTGGAGGAGTCCATGGCCTGCATCATCCAGTGCCAGAGTCCCACAGCTGGGCCAGCCCAGGTACCTCTGGAGATGAGGGCCAGTAATAGTGTCGTGTGCCCAGCCACCCCTTTGAGCAGGCAGCTGGGCTCAGGAGGCAGCTTCAGAGGCACCGTGGGCCTTGGGGTGCAGCACTTGTTCTCAGAACCTTTAGGCATGACGTCCTGGGGAAGAAGCAGGGTCTCGAGGTACTTGGCAGGACTTTACCCAGCTCAGCTCTCTGCTGGGAGACAGCCATATGCACCAGGACATTGCCCTGAGGTGGGACCAGGATATTACAGAGGTAGTGCCAGCTGCATTGCAGACCCAGGCTGCGTTGGGCTGTTGAGGCTTCTGCCTTTGGCTTCCTTTGTCCTTGACTGGTTCATACTGTTACCAAGTGGACAAAGTAAGCTGGCCAGGGCTGGACTCTGGTCCCTTTATTGAGACTATGGGGCCAGTGGGTCCATCCAAACAAAAATAAATTTCTCTCTTAAAGCCTGCCCGCAGGCTGGGGCACCCAGCATGTCCTGGCTGGGGCCCATGGCTATCCCCCAGACACAAGAGCACAGGTCTGTCTCCCTTGTAGCGGCAGGAGGCTGGCTCCCCAGTATCTGGAGGACCTAAGTGGGAGAGGGAGATGAGTCCCCCTACCCCCAGGAGAGCTGGCCTGATAACCATGATCTGCATTAAGGCCTTGGGCTCAGTCATCGGACAGGGTGATGACGTCGTACTCGATGCCTTGGTGCTGCAGCTGTTGAATGTGTTCAGGTACCGCCTCCTCTGTGCCAAACAGGCCTTGGGCTTGGGCCATGGCAGCATCAGCCACTGCTGCCAGGGAGGAGAAAGTGTGGTAAGCCCAGGGCCCTAAGAGCTAGGCCTGACCCCTACCCCTGGGATCTAGGTCCAGGTCCATACCTGTGACAGCAGAGTGTGCTGCAGCTTCAAGCTGAGCCTGAGTGACAAGCTGCTGGCCTAGGGACACAGGCACATACTGGATCTAGAGGGGAGAAGCTGATGAGAAGTGGCTCTGGAGGAGCCTTTCAGTGCCCCAGCCCTGTTTGGCCCCCCAAGTGCCCTACCTGGGACTCCTGCAGGAATGGGGCTCCTTGTTCATACTGGATATGTGTGATCTGACCCTCCTGTACCTAGACAGGAATCCAATCCATGATCCCAGGAGATGCTGCTGCCCTCCTCCCAAAACCCCAATTCACCCCAGGCCTGGCCTACCTGGATGTGATGGCCATCAGGGACCACTACGTACTCCTGGGGCAAAAGGTGCTGGACGCCGTCCTGAGAGATGATATACTGTACCTAAAGAGGGTCGGGGAGCCAGCTGCTGGGTCCCACTCATTGGGGTCTCAAAGTGGAGTAGAGGACCAGGGGGACCCATCAACAATGGCAGCACAAGCATGGACCCTGGGAGGGGAGCATGGGATACTGTTCCCCCCAAGGTGGGACCTTGGCAGGAAGAGGGGGGCAGGAGGGCGAGGCTAAGGAGGAGCAGCTCACCTGGTTGTCAGAGGTTACGAGGTGCTGTACTGTCTGGCCATCTGCTGTGGTGATCTCTTGGATATAGGTGGCTTCTTCCTGCCAAAGACAGGCCAGCTCTAGCCCCAGCTCTGTCTGCCCCCATCCTGCCATGACCTCCCAGCAGGGCCCCCAACCCTGGTTTTTACCTGATTGGTCACTGTCTGTTCCTGGGCCACAATGATGTGTTCCTGGCCCAGTGCCTGCTGCAACCGCTCTGGGCCCAGGACCCCGTGACTGGACTGGAAGCCAGCTAGGCAGGGAGGGGACAGTGCTCACTTGGGGTTCCCACGAGACCTGGAACCCCCCAGCCCACAGGTGCCTTCTGGGCAGTGGCTCAAGTCTGATCAACCCTAGCGCCCACCCTGTGATAACTCACTGTGCACCGTGGCCAGTGTCTCCTCCTCATCACTATTCAAGATAATGGTCTGGGTGGGGGTCTGGGCTGGGGCCCGGCCTGTAGGGGTCCCTGCTTTCCTCGAGTCGGGGCTGTGCAGCCGTTGGATATGAAACTTGAGGTGCCCATTGCGGTTGAAACTGAGGAGGAAGAAGAGGCTTAGCACAGCTCCACTAAGCATTCCCAGCAGCCCCTGCCCAGCAGCTGTTCTTACCGCTGCCCACACAGGTGGCACGAAAAAGGCTTCTCATTGGTGTGGGTCAGCACGTGCCGCCGCAAGTCCTTCTTGTTCTTGGAGGCAAAACTGCACTGGCTGCACTGGTGAGGCCGCAGGCTCGAGTGCTGTGCCATGTGGGCCTGCAGGAGGGGCAGTCAGGGCTACCACCTGGGTCAGCACAGATGGCAGCAAGTCCTAGATCCCTACAGCCATCTGGTCGGGTGACACAGACCCAGAAAACCCAAAACTCTGCACTTGTGAGGAGTTGGGCAGAAAGTTGGGCAAAAACCAGGTCAAGACTGCTGTTGCTGTGGCCTGTGCGTGATAAGCCAGAGGAGCTGCTGTTACGTCACTTGCCAAGTCCTGTCTCACCTCCCAGACCCCACGTAGCCAGACGTAACTTAAGGTGCTGGATAAGGCAACCTCGGACACCCTAGGGCTTAGTCCTGCCTAACTGGGCCTCAGTCTCTCCATCTGCAGAGTGCAGAGCTAGACCCTGGCCCCCTCCCTGAGCTCTGAGGATATAGTATGTGGTCAGATCTAGAAACCCTCAGGCAATGGAGGGAACTCCAGGGAGGGACCAGTAGTTGGCCCACTTCCCTCACCACACTGCTCGCTGGCTGTGAACCTCTGTGCCCTCAGTACTCTAGAAAGCTCGAGTTTTCTCCCCATGCCTCATATCATCAGCCCTCAGTGCCTTTGCTCCTACAGACCCAGCTCCACCATCCATCCTGTCCTCTGGTATCTTCCTCAGTCCCAAGTCCAATCAGTTGTTTTCTGTGTATCTGTGCTCTCTGCCCTGCACACTTCCTTCACCCTAGGGACGCTGTCTGGCATTAGTCACATTTGTGTCTGGTTGGCCGCCTGCCTGGACTGAGCTTCCTGAGGACTGAGTCACCTCTGATCCTAGAAGGGGGCCGGCTGCTCAATAAAGGGTTGTATACAAATGGGTGGCTGGATGACTGACAGCAGAGGGATGACAGGGGTGGCACCTACCCGGACCTCTGGCCACTGGCAGGCACTGAAGGGGCAGTCAGGGCACTTGAAGGCACTAGGCCCAGCATGGGCCCGTTTGTGACTCTCCATCTCCGCTCGGCCAGGGAAGGCCTCAGCACAGATCTTGCAGGAAAACTTCTTTGATGCAGTAGTGGCTGTAGACAGTGGGGAGGGGGGCACTACCAGGCCCAGGGCTTTGCTGGCTGCAGGAGGTGGGGAGGAAGAGCTCAGGGGGTCCCCCACCCAGTGGGTCTTGGCTGGAGATGGGGCCTCAGGGCCGTCTCTGAGGAGTTCCCCACACTGCAGCAGGGGCCACTTGGCTCCAGAGGTCAGGGAATCCGGACTAGGGAAGGAGATGGAGCCATGTGCAGTCAGCTGTGGAGAGACGAAGCAGTATGAGGAGGTGCTGGGGGTGGGCAGGTGCTCAGGGAGGCGAGATAGGGACTGGCTACCCCAAGCCTACCTCGATGTGGTGCAGCTGCGTCCCATCAGCTGCCATGATATAGTGGGTGCCAGCTTCTCTGAGGGCATCACTCACAACCACAGTCTGGGCTGCCTCCCCTGGGGGCTCCTCACTGAGAACACAGAGAAGGGGAGGGGACAGGATGGAGGGCTACAGGAACCTTGTTCCCAAGCAACAGGTATCAGCTGGGTGTGGCAGTGCACACCTGCCAATCCCAGCACTTGGGAGGCTGAGCCAAGATCACCATGCGTTTAAGGCCAGCCTGGGCTATCTAGTGAGTTCAAGACTAGTCTGGAATACACAGCGAGACCTTGTCTCAAATAAATAAAATAAAATTAACCAACCCCCCACCCCCAAACCAAGCAAGAGGGATGCACTGAGAGTAACTGCCACCACGGACAGACTCAGAGGGCTCGGGATGAAGCCTAGGACTCTTCCCTACACCAGCTGGGCCTCTGCTGTTTCTTCTAAGGATGTTTACACTGCTCCAGCACACGGTCTTGCTCAAAAAGCAGTGGCCCATCCACTTGATGGGTAGGTGCAACAAAGCAAAGGCCCCAGGAGTCCAGCCCAAGTGTGGCCAAGTGGTACAGGAAGAGAGGGCCAAGCCACCAGGAGCAAATGGAGGCTCTGCCAACATGAGCCCGGTCCTGTGGAGGTAGGGCCTCTTAGGCACTGCAGTCCAAGCACAGAGGGCAGATCCTGACAGGCTGCCTGCCTGTGTACCAACCTGGGGCTCCAGATTGCAACCCCAGTGCTTAGATTTGGGGCTCCCTATGACAGCCTCAGAGTTCAGTGAGCGTATAGAGATTTCTATCCGAAACTCATTTCTCATAGGAAGGCAAGTGCAGGTGTCAGGATTTAAATGCAAAGGAGCTGAGCTTGCTGCAAATGTTCGAACATCTAGTATCCTTGAAAATGAAGAGCATATAGTCAGGCTTCGAAGCCTCACCTCCTACATAGCTGACCTTTAGGTCAGATAACCTGAGGCCAGTTAATTGACCTCTTGGTGTGTTTCCTCATTTGTAAAAGGACAGAAAAGGATCTCACGGGAGTGGGTTAGGAGAACATCATGAGTGTAAAGTTCCTGGAACATTCAAGTGGCCAAAGAATGGTAGCTCCAGATTTCAGAAGGACAGTGTTCCTATGCCCAATCACCTTTCCTCCTGCTAACTAGGTCTGAGCAGGTAAGGCCCAAATCTCACTGCACTAGCACTTACAAAAGTGCCTTGTAGAG